ATTTTTGTACTATACTTTACGGTGTATATATGTATATAAATAAGCACGTGTTTATATGTGTATATGTGCATTGGTACATTACTATATATCATGTGTATATTGTGGGGTTTTGTTTGTTATCTTTTATTAGTCTTTCAATATTCTTCTCAGCCTCTCTTGTTTTAAGTTGCAGTAATGTGCAAATTTCCAGACTGTGGGATCGATAAAGTTTTATCTTATCTTATTTTATCTTAAAAACAGTTTTTAGTCTGTAGATAACTGTGTTTTTGCTATGAAAATACAAATATGGCCGAATGGGGTGGAGTCGGACGCTTGGGGACCTGGAGGGGGCGGGGTGTGAAATATCTCATTTATATTTAAAGAGACCGCGCCAAAACAGCTTGCTCTGAGGCGCAACTCAGAACAGGGGTAAACCAAGGAAAGCAAGGAGTCTGTGGAGCAACAAAAACGAGGAATTAAGACCAAAGCATTGCAGTTTTATTTTAAATAGACCATAAGTGAATGATTTAGACGTGAAAAAGAAGGATTTAAAAGAATGATATGATACCTCTAAGAGCTAAACATGGCATAGCCCTAAGTGAAAGCTAAAAATAGCAAAACACTAGCTACATGCTAAAATACTAGCTTAATGTATGAAAAATCAAGCTAACATTAATGAGAAGCTTGTTGAAAGCAAAAAGTAGAAAAAAACCTAGCTAAAAGCTGAAGACCTAAAACACTAGTTAACTGTATAAAGTCAAGCTAAAAGTAGAAAGAAGCCAGTCAAAAGCTAAAAGTAGTAGTAATAATAGCTAAAAGTTAATAGTAGAAAAGTATAAAAACACTAAGTACATAAAACACCAAATTGTAAAAATGTATGAAAAAAAAGCTAAAATGTGTGGAAGCAACTTAACAGCTAAAAGAAACAAAACACTAGTTAAAAGCTAATAATAAATTATCTAAAAGTAGGAAAAGACTAGCTTAAACTAAAGGCATAAATACAAGATAAATGTTATAAATAACAAGCTAAATTTAGTAAGAAGCTAAAAGAACTAAAATACTAGCTAACAGCTAATAATAAAATCAAAAATTTAAAACACTAGCTAGAAGCTAAAAAAGAAACACTAGCTAAATAAACAAAAGCTAAAAGTATCACAAAGCCAGTCAGTAGATAAAAGTAGCAAAGTACTAGCTAAAAGCTAATAGTAAAGTCTAGTTAAGGTAGCAAAACACTAGCTTAAACTAAAATGCAGCAAAACAGTTGCCAAAGTCAGAAAGGTAAAATAAATAGATAAAGTTTGCTAAAAACTAAAAGAAGTTAAAGGTCAGTTTCAAGTACCAAAATGCTAACTAAAAGTTACTAAACATTAGCCACAGCATCAGAAGATTAGCTGAAAACTAAAAGTAGCAGCTGAAGACAAAAACAGAGCGATTGTTGAAACAGATTTTAAAAAACAAAAACATATTTTTGAATAAATTTAAGAGATTTTTATAGATTTCTGTGGGTAAATCTGTCAGTAAAACTAAATATTTAAAAAAGATAAATCACAGCATTCATGTCCTGACGAGCCGAATGTTTTGATACACAAACAGCTAAAATAAAGTATGTAGTTAGATTGAAGTTTCTGCTTCTGTAGCAACAAAAACCTGAGCTGCTGATGAAAGTTACCTCCTCTGGTTCTGCTCAGCTGGTTCTTCCTCCTTCATCCATGTACCGTCCCTGTCCCCCGTGTGTCCCCGTCCTGTGACCCCCTGACCTCTGGGGTGGACGACATTCAGGCACGGCATGGCAGCGACTCAAACATGTTGGTCGATGCTGCAGCCGAGCCATCGGGCGTCAAACGTCCACCTGAAGACTCTGATTCAGCCTTCGGTGAGACGAGCGTGTCGGACTGGTCCGACTGGAAGATTTGTTTTATCAGGGTGGCGTTTGCTTTGTTTTGTTTTGTTTTTTTCTTTTGCAACATTCCTTCCCAACAGGAACGTGTTGAACACACTAATTAGGACAAACCCTGCTCTGCCCAGAAACACCAGAAACTCTTCAACCAGCAGAAGCATTAACAACAGAACTAATTGTTTTAAAACATTTAACCCAGACAGACAGGTGTTGTTACACTTGGGAGGCCTCAAAATCACAGATTATCTGAGGTCAGGCTGACATCTATTGGTTAGAAGAAGAATTACAACTAAAACAAGCCCACTCAACCTGAACTTGTTGGAAGTCTTAATACTGAATTAAAACCTACTGTGGACACCACTGTGGACTGTCAAACAAGACCGAGGTGCCCGTGCAGAAAGGTGCAGATATAAGAAATTCCCGATATTTCTTGGCTGGTCTGAGCACCGTGTTGACTCGTCATAACAACTCAACCAAAACACACTATCTTTCTGACCGCACTCAGTTCATTCAACTCAAGTTGGCAGCACAACGGCTCAGTGGTTAGCACCGACGCCTCACAGCAAGAAGGTCCTGGGTTTGATCCCCGGTTTGGACCTGGGGTCTTTCTGTGCAGAGTTTGCATGTTCTCCTCGTGCTTGCGTGGGTTTTCTCCGGGTACTCCGGTTTCCCCCACCCCCAAAAACATGTACAATAGGTCGCCTACAGGCCCAGGCCTCCCTTGAAAAAGAGATCTGAGATCTCAATGGGACTTGCCTGGTAAAATAATGGTAAATAAATAAATAAAAGATAAAATAAGTCCTTCCACTCTGAGTCTTCTCCCATCTCTACTGGTGTGCCCCAAGGTTCTGTCCTTGACCTCTAATTTTCATTATTTTCCTCCTTCCACAAGGCCCCACCATCCAGAAATTTGATGTCCATTTCCATTCTTATGCAGATTACACTCAGCTTTACATCTCCACAAATACTCCTCCCTATCATCCTCCACTCTCACCGACTGCCTCAGTGAGCTCAATAACTGGTAAATGTAAATACTTTGTTATTTCTGTACAGTGTCCTTGGATATCTTGAAATATTATCCTGCTTTTCAAATAAAATGGATTATTATTATTAAAATTATATTAACTAGAGAATTTGCATTTTTTGCAAAAATGCATTGGGAATGCTTAATGCTGAAAGATGTTTGCTGAATAGTTAAAAATAAGCTGAAAGGAGCCTAAAATAAGAAAATAAACAGTAGCTGGAATTAGAATTGAAATGAGCAAACATTTTCTGAAAGAAGCTGAAATGATCAAGAGATGAATTTAACTGAAAAAAGCTCAAATTTGCTAAAAACAAACAACTGAAACAACAAAAAAAACCAGTTAAAGAAGCATTAAAAGCTTAAAATAGAAGCTGAAAATGAACAAAAGAGAGCAGATGATAAACAGAAAAATGTCAGAATGATTGCAAATAAAGCAGAAAAAAGCTAAAATCAGCAAAATATAAGCCAAAGGAAGCTAAAATTAGTTCAAATAAGTTGAAAAAAAGCACAACCAGCACAAAAAAATGTGGGAGAGTTAAAAAAACATTGAAAAACATACAGAAGAAAATACTTCAAAAATGTGAACAAGTTGTGAATAATGCTATTTAGTCGATTCTGCTCAAAGCTGAAACAAATGTTTGAATTAGTCTCAAGCTAAACCGCTCCTAAATTAAAATGTAAACTTTTGAGGAACTAATTTGAATAAAAATAGTGAGAAGTTTATTTATGACACATTTTACACACAATAACCACAAAATGTTTCACAATGATTATGAAAGATGAAACAAAGGGAAACAGAAGGGTGATACAGTTTCAGGGAAGCTACAATACACAAATCAAAAAACAAAATAAAATGAAAGGTAGCAGAAGAATTAATCTTATAATGTCTGCCCCTTTATCCTCAGAATATATTCAAACAAAACATGATTAAAAATAATAC